CCAGCCCAGCCCAGCCCAGCCCAGCCCAACCCAGCCAAGCTCAGTCTAGCCCAGCCCAGCTCAGCCCAGCTCAGCCCCTCCTGGCCCAGCTCAGTCCAGCCCAGCCCAGCCCAGCCCAGTCCAGCCCAGCCCAGCTCAGCCCAGCCCAGCCCAGTTCAGCCCCAGCCCAGCCCAGCCCAGCTCAGCCCAGCCCAGCCCAGCCCAGCCCAGCCCAGCCCAGCTCTGCTCAGCCCAGCCCAACCCAGCCAAGCTCAGTCCAGCCCAGCTCAGCTCAGCCCCTCCTGGCCCAGCTCAGTCCAGCCCAGCTCAGCTCAGCCCCTCCTGGCCCAGCTCAGTCCAGCCCAGCCCAGCCCAGCCCAGTCCAGCCCAGAGCAGCTCAGCCCAGCCCAGCTCAGCCCAGCCCAGATCAGCCCAGCCCAGCCCAGCACAGCTCAGCCCAGCCCAGCACAGCTCAGCCCAGTCCAGCTCAGCCCAGCTCAGCCCAGTCCAGTTCAGCACAGCTCAGCCCAGCCCAGCCCAGCCAAGCTCAGTCCAGCCCAGCCCAGCTCGGCCCAGCACAGCCCAACCCAGCTCAGTCCAGCCCAACCCAGCCCAGCACAGCTCGGCCCAGCACAGCCCAGCCCAGCTCAGTCCAGCTCAGCCCAGCTCAGCTCAGCCCAGCCCAGCCCAGCCCAGCCCAGCTCAGCTCAGCCCAGCTCAGCCCAGCTCAGCTCCTCCTAGCCCAGCTCAGCTCAGCCCAGCCCAGCCCAGCCCAAACTAGCCCAGTCCAGCTCAGCCAGCCTAGCCCAGCTCAGCCCCTCCTAGCCCAGCCCAGCCCAGCCCAGCCCAGCCCAGCCCAGCCCAGCTCAGCTCAGCCCAGCTCAGCCCAGCCCAACCCAGCCAAGCTCAGTCCAGCCCAGCCCAGCTCAGCCCCTCCTAGCCCAGCTCAGCTCAGCTCAGCCCAGCCCAGCCCAGCCCAGCTCAGCTCAGCTCAGCCCAGCCCAGCCCAGCCCAAACTAGCCCAGTCCAGCTCAGCCCAGCCCAGCCCAGCTCAGCGCAGCCCAGCCCAGCCCAGCCCAGCCCAGCCCAGCCCAGCTCAGCTCAGCCCAGCCCAGCTCAGTCCAGCCCAGCCCAGCTCAGCGCCTCCTAGCCCAGCTCAGCCCAGCCCAGTCCAGCCCAGCTCAGCTCAGCCCAGTCCAGCCCAACCTAGGCCAGTCCAGGCTAGTCCAGCTCAGCCCACCTAGTATCCCTAGCACAGGTCTGTTCAGCCCAGCCCATGACCTTGGACCAGAACCCAGGACCAGGGTGCAGAGATGAGTGGGGTCACTTGGTAGGGTGCTAGTGCTGCCCACCCAGGGACCCCTGGACAGGCTCGCACCTCTGGCCATGCTGGGCCATCTCGATGGCCCTCCGTGCAGGCACCGGGGAGCCCCCGTCGGTCACGCTGAGCACCTCCATGGACTTGCGCTCGGGTCTCCTCTTGCCATGTCGGTTCAGCATTGGGGAGTCGACGCGCTTCCGGGGAGGGTCTGTGTGCAGACAGGGGTCAGGCTAGGCAGCTGGCCGGGCCCGGCTGGAACAGGGCGGCCGCACGCCTCGTACCTATCTCGTTCCTGGGGGGGAGGTCCTCATCCTCGTGGCTCGGGTACCTTTCTTTCCGGTCCAGGAGGAGGAAGTAGATCATCTTTTCCTGGTTCTCCCTGCAGCGGGCAAGAGAGGCGGGGGAGCTGGCCCAGGTGTCCGTGTCCGGCAGCGTGTCCTCGCACGGCTCTTCTCGGGCCCGGAGGCTGCTGGCCGAGGCCACCCTGCCCACCACCCCACATACTCCTCCGACAGCAGGTCCTGGAGAAGCTTGTTACGGTCTCGGAAGCAGCCCAGAGAGTGCATGCTGTCCAGCACGTCCGGGTCGATGTCCTCCAGGCTGGGCAGCGAGCGGATCTGCACCTTTCGGGGGATGGGCTGCTCCGGCTCGGGCTCGTTCTTGCCCCCTCTGCGGACGACACGGAACCGGTGGTCACTCACCAGCAGCCCAGGCCATGGCTCCTCCACCCAACCCTGAGGCGGCCAAGAGGGTGGGAAGCCCGTCCTGGACTGGGCCCAAGTCCTGCTTCTGTCCCTGCACCCGGCCCCTGCAGGCGGCGGAGAGCGAGGCTGGGCAGCCCCGCACTGGCCGGCATCCTCCCCCCTTCCTAGCAGGCCACAGCGGAGGGCTAAGCAGGCGTTAGTGGGCACAGGAGCTACTTACATATACCATATGTGTTTCTGAATGTGTTCTAGCTACAAGGAAAGAGAAACAGGGAGTTAGTACGAGGGGGAGCCCACGTTAGGAGGTGGAAGCGAGACAGGAGGGGCAGGCTGTGCTCCCAGAAGCCCCAGACCAGCACCCCTACCCACCTCCCAGACACAGGGAAAGTGCAGCCAGCAAGGACCGGGGGGGGGGGGGGCTCCAGACAGGGGCCGGGCCAGGCAGCAGAGGGAGCAGAGGCAGGAGACGGGCAGGGCCCCGACAGGCCCGCGCTGCCCCAGCAGGGCCCTCCTGGAGCAGAGCAGAGCAGGAAAGCAGCCCAGAAGGAGCAAAGCCAAGAAGGCCAGGAAGCTGGAAGGGCAGGGTATGGGCAGGAAGCTAGGGGCATCCTAGTTTCAGCTTTCTCCACCCAGACTGCAGGGCAGGACAAAGGGCTGCTTGGACCCTGACTGACTGAGGGACAGCGCCTGGGCAGGACACAGGCCTCCTAGACCTTCACTGACTGAGGGACAGCACCAGGGCAGGACGCAGACCTCCTGGACCCTGACTGACTGACTGAGGGACAGCGCCTGGGCAGGACACAGGCCTCCTGGACCTTCACTGAGAGACAGCACCAGGGCAGGACAAAGGGCTGCTTGGACCCTGACTGACTGAGGGACAGCGCCTGGTCAGGACACAGGCCTCCTGGACCTTCACTGAGGGACAGCACCAGGGCAGGACACAGGCCTCTTGGACCTTCACTGACTGAGGGACAGCACCAGGGCAGGACACAGGCCTCCTGGACCTTCACTGACTGACTGAGGGACAGCATCTGGGCAGGACGCAGACCTCCTGGACCCTGACTGAGGGACAGCGCCTGGGCAGGACACAGGCCTCCTGGACCTTCACTGACTGACTGAGGGATGACTGACTGAGGGACAGCGCCTGGGCAGGACGCAGACCTCCTGGACCTTCACTGACTGACTGAGGGACAGAGCCTGGGCAGGACACAGGCCTCCTGGACCTTCACTGACTGAGGCATGACACAGGCCTCCTGGACCCTGACTGACTGACTGAGGGACAGCACCTGGGCAGGATGCAGACCTCCTGGACCCTGACTGACTGACTGAGGGACAGCGCCTGGGCAGGACTCAGACCTCCTGGACCCTGACTGACTGACTGAGGGACAGCGCCTGGGCGGGACACAGGCCTCCTAGACCTTCACTGACAGAGGGACAGCGCCTGGGCAGGACACAGGCCTCCTGGACCTTCACTGACTGAGGCAGGACACAGGCCTCCTGGACCCTGACTGACTGAGGGACAGCACCTGGGCAGGACGCAGACCTCCTGGACCCTGACTGACTGACTGAGGGACAGCAGCTGGGCAGGACACAGGCCTCCTGGACTCTGACTGACTGAGGGACAGCATCTGGGCAGGACACAGGCCTCCTGGACTCTGACTGACTGAGGGACAGCGCCTGGGCAGGACGCAGACCTCCTGGACCTTCACTGACTGACTGAGGAACAGCGCCTGGGCAGGACACAGGCCTCCTGGACCCTCGCTGACTGAGGGACAGCGCCTGGGCAGGACACAGGCCTCCTGGACCTTCACTGACTGACTGAGGGACAGCACCTGGGCAGGACACAGGCCTCCTGGACCTTCACTGACTGAGGCAGGACACAGGCCTCCTGGACGCTGACTGACTGACTGAGGGACAGCGCCTGGGCAGGACACAGGCCTCCTGGACCCTGACTGAGGGACAGCGCCTGGGCAGGTCGCAGACCTCCTGGACCTTCACTGACTGACTGAGGGACAGCGCCTGGGCGGGACACAGGCCTCCTGGACCCTGACTGACTGAGGTACAGCGCCTGGGCAGGACACAGGCCTCCTGGACCTTCACTGACTGACTGAGGGACAGCGCCTGGGCAGGACACAGGCCTCCTAAACCTTCACTGAGTGACTGAGGGACAGCGCCTGGGCAGTACACAGGCCTCCTGGACTCTGACTGACTGAGGGACAGCGCCTGGGAAGGACACAGGCCTCCTGGACCCTGACTGACTGACTGAGGGACAGCGCCTGGGCAGGACACAGGCCTCCTGGACCTTCTCTGAGGGACAGCGCCTGGGCAGGACACAGGCCTCCTGGACCTTCACTGACTGACTGAGGGACAGCGCCTGGGCAGGACACAGGCCTCCTGGACCTTCTCTGAGTGACTGAGGGACAGTGCCTGGGCAGGACACAGGCCTCCTGGACTCTGACTGACAGAGGGACAGCATCTGGGCAGGACACAGCCCTCCTGGACCCTGACTGAGGGACAGCAGCTGGGCAAGACACAGGCCTCCTGGACCCTGACTGACTGAGGGACAGAACCTGGGCAGGACACAGGCCTTCTGGACTCTGACTGACTGAGGGACAGCACCTGGGCAGGACGCAGGCCTCCTGAACTCTGACTGACTGAGGGACAGCGCCTGGGCAGGACACAGGCCTCCTGGACCTTCACTGACTGACTGAGGGACAGCGCCTGGTCAGGACACAGGCCTCCTGGACCTTCACTGACTGAGGGACAGCGCCTGGGCAGGACACAGGCCTCCTGGACCTTCACTGACTGACTGAGGGACAGCGCCTGGGCAGGACACAGGTCTCCTGGACCTTCACTGACTGACTGAGGGGCAGCGCCTGGGCAGGACACAAGCCTCCTGGACCTGACTAACTGACTGAGGGGCAGCGCCTGGGCTGGACGCAGGTCTGTCCTGGGAGGGCTAGCCCAGAGAGCAGCTCGCTGCCCTCCACAGCCACAGGCTGTCCCCCCACACCACCCAGCCTGGGCTTGGGCCCTGTCTCACTCTGCTCACACTACCTTCAGAGGACAGGATGTCAGGACGTGGGACAAGCCACTCACAGGCAAAAGCCGGTCACCCCCCAGGCCCAGGCCCCTTAAAACAGGGGGTCCTGCACACCTGCACATAAGCCTAAAACCTGGGACACAGCCCCGCCCGCATGTGCAGTAACACCCCGTTTGTGAACAGATCCCTGCACACACACCTTCATACCCCACATACACTTGGAGAGCCTACACACACGCTTGGACCCCCACCCCAGTGCACACCCCTCACACAACCCCAGCCCATACACACCTGGACACATTCCCCACATCCACCTGGACAGCCCTCACATGTACCTCGCCCCAATACATACCTGGATGCACACACACCTTCCCATACACACCTGGACAGCTCTCACACGCACTTGAACCGTCACCTGAACACACAGCCCACACACTTGAGCACATGCCCAGGGCAAGCTCAGATGCTAGGCCCAGGCCCAAACACCTGGGCCTGTCCTCCAGCCCAGAGCCCACCCCACCCCAGGCACACCCACGCTCTGGCCCACACGCGCACACAGACATCCTACAACAGCCCATGTCCACACACCTGAGAACGCGGTCCCTGGCACAGCAGCACCCTCAGGCACCCCTACCCTGACTCACCCGGGATCCGTGCCCCGGCCTGTTGTCATGCACGAGGGACAAGTGTGCAAGACGGTACTGAGGCCCTGACACAGGCAGCTCCCATCTGTGCTCACACTCACCCTGTGCACACACCTGTGTGCACACACACTGGTTCAGGTGTGCGAAACCAGGGACTCACACCCTCGGCCCACACTCCTGCCGCTGTGCCCACGCTCCTGGCAGCACGCCGGAGGCCCGGGGACGGGGGCACGCGGCGTGAGGCCCGGGGACGGGGGCACGCACCGTGAGGCGCCGCGCGGCGTCCACCTCGATCATGCCGCGCAGCAGACTCTGGCAGTCGGGCGGGATGAAGTGGGGCATGTGGAACACGCCGCGCTTGACCTTCTCCAGCAGCTGCCGCAGGTTGTCGTCATCGAAAGGCAGCGCCCCCTGTGGGCGGGGGCGGTCACCGAGGCGGGAGAGCGGGGAGGGGCGGCGGGGAGGGAGGAGGCAGGGGAGGGCAGGGGAGGGCAGGGCCTCACCACCAGCAAGGCAAACAGGATAACTCCACAGCTCCACACATCCGCCTTGCGGCCATCGTACTTCTCTCCCTGTGGACAAAGGCACCACCAGACATTGACAGGTGCCAGGCCAGAGGGCTGGGTCTGGGGGCTGTGGTGAGCGGGGTCTCGGGGAGGCAGGCAGAGGGCTGGGTCTGGGTCTGGGGGCTGTGGTGAGCTGGAGGCCTTGCACGGCAGGTCGGGAGGCTCCTCCCACCGCAGGGACCCCGGGGTTACTCACCCGGATCACCTCTGGGCA